TCAGCACTGGGGAGTAGAGATAGGAGGATCCCTGGGGCTCACTTGCCAGCCAACCTAACCTAAAATGTAAGCTCCAGGTCCCAGTAAGAGATCCTGTCACAAAAAGCAAAGTGGAGGAATGACACTGAGGTTGACCTTTGGTCTGTACACACACACACACACACACACACACACACACACACACACACACACATTAAAATATACGTACTACCATCCAACCTAACTATTCCACATGTACATATTTGCCTGAGTAATAAATGCCCTGATCTTACAAAGACTTGTACAGAAGTGTTCTCAATAGTTTTATTATAATTGTCCCAAACTGAAAATGACCCAAACATTCAATAACATGTGAGTGGATAGACAATGTACAGTACTTGAAATGGAATACTTCTCAACAATACAACATATAAATCTCAAGATTAATGTACTGAGTTTTGAAATAACCCTCATAAAAGAGTACAGATGCTGTAATTCCATTAATATAAAATTCTAGACTATGACTATTATTCTGTAATTGCTGGGGTGGGGTGGATGACAAGGAGGGATGGAAAATTAAAGGGTATGGGGAAATTTATTGTGGTGATGCCTTCCTGGAAAATACACATGCCAAAACTTAACTATAAACTTTAAGTATTTGCAGTTTATTGTATGTTAATTTTGCTTCAAAAAATCTGTAAAATTTTTTTTATCTGATGAGTAGGGCCTATCTAATTCTACATGAATTTTTCTTTAAAGCTTAATGACTGTGATTATTTCTGCCACATAGTAAATGTTCAGTATGTAATAGCTTCAGTCTTCTTGAATATTAAACTGAAAAAAAAGTCAGAAGATGTGTGGTTTTGTTTTAAGTATCATATCTCATGGGTACTAAAGAAGGCCTTAATCTGAAGTAACTGAAAATGAGAACCTCATAAAATTAATTTTTAAAATTTTATTTATTATTTTCATTTTTTATGTGTATGGGTATATTGCCTGCATGTGTTTAAGTGCACCCATGCCATGCAATGCCCACAGAGGTCAGAAGAGTGTGTCGGATCCCTTGGAGCTGGCATTATGGATAGTTGTTAGCCACCATGTGAGGGCCGGGAATCAAACCTGGTCTTCTGCAAGAGCAGCCAGTGCTCTTAACTACTGAGCCATTTCTCCAATCCCAATAACAGGAAAAAAAAATTGGTATGAAAGTGAAAAGAGGACAACTTGGAAAAGGGAGGATACAAGGGAAAAAGAGATGGAGGAGACTCCACAAAATAAATTATGTATGAAAATGAAATCCATTACTTTGTATGTTCATTAAAAAACAAACAAATACGGAAAAGTGCATTCAAAGAGAAGTTCCCTTTATCTACCCTTCCCTCTTTCTATGTTAGGAAACATATGCTGTACAGGTCAGCAAAATGAAATGTGAACAGTTATGGATTCTAATTCTGAATCCTGCACTATTTTCCTTTATTATTTTTTCTTTACTCCAACCAGCTCCATTTTCTTCAGGTCTGATATAGAAACTAAAGTCTCATTACATACTTGATGAATATTCTATAGTCTTAGATAAACACTGAAAGAATTATCTCTTGGAAGAGGAATTGGATTTGCTGGGTATGGCCCCCAAAGTGCAAATCAGGACTGGTGGGTAGAAGCAAAAAAAAAAAAAATTACAATAAGGAGGGGGGTGTTAGAACTTTATCAGTGGAGTAGATTGACTTAATCAGTGGTGAGTTTCCCATCATAGGTGGTCAAGGTCAGGCTAGATGATTATTGAAAGAGAATTCAAGCCTCCTATTTTCAATCACAATGAAGTAGTCTATGTGAATACAATTTTTTAAAAAGATAAGAATGGATGGAACATTGCAGGAGCCCAAGGACCGGAACACCTGCTGTTGGATAGTGTCTTCCAGACAAGACAGGGAAACTGTACCCATGAAATCCTAACAATATGGTTGCCTAAACAAGACCTGCATAATGACAGCACCAATTAACATGCCCACATGGATGGGGGAAATTTCACAAGGTCCCACCTCTAAATGTAGAGCTAGAAAATCCTTGGTTGCTGAGAGAGGGAGAATCAGCTTTCTCCAGGGATGAGCTCCCGATCAGTTATCCAGTCTCAGTGGTCAGCCCTAAACACATGTGTATACTAGCACCACTAAATGTACTCAGTAGGTTGTTTGTGTGTGTGTGTGTGTGTGTGAGAGAGAGAGAGAGAGAGAGAAAGAGAGAGAGAGAAAGGTTTAAGTACAGGATATTGAGAGTTGGGGGATGTGGGAGGAGTGATGGAGAGAGGGAGGACTGGAAATTATGTAAATTTCCAATACTCACAGATGAAATTCTCAAAAAAATAAAAAATTTAGATGAAAAAAGTCAGCAAAAGAGTTTAGTAAATTAGAAGTCAAAGCTGAATAATGAGGGGATTTGCTAAAGTAGGAACATTAAAAATAATGTTCATGAGCCGGGCGTGGTGGCACATGCCTTTAATCCCAGCACTCGGGAGGCAGAGGCAGGCAGATCTCTGTGAGTTCAAGGCCAGCCTGGTCCACATAGTGAGTTCCAGGACAGCTAGGGCTACAGGGAGACCCTGTCTCAAACCAAATAATAATAATAATAATAATAATAATAATAATAATAATAATGTTCATGAAGTAGAGAATGTAAGGAGTAGGAAGACGTATAGAATGTGTTGACAGAGTTGAAAGAGATAACAGAAGAATCACGGGTTGGTTCACAGTACAAGGACTGAATAAACAATTTTGGAATTGGAAGCCAGTTTTGGAATTGATGGCTCAGTGGTTCAGAGCACTGGCAGCTGTTGCAGAGGACCCGGGTTCATTTCCTAGCACCCACATGGCAACTAACAACCATCTGAAACTTCAGTTACGAGGTGTCCAATGCCCTCTTCTGGCCTCTGCAGGCATTGTAGGATACAAGAGCACTTACATACATGTAGGGAAAACACTCATAGACATAAAAAATAAAAATAAATAAATTTGGAATTGGGAAAATTCAAAAATAATAAAAATTTTGTAGCAAGAATGAATCTATGAATAATTCTAGAATATTTGAATAGAATTGAACTATACATACATTCATAGAACATTATCTGTGAATATTGGCATAAACAATTTTTTGTTTCTGTAAGGGTAGGCTCTAGGTTCTTTGACAGTTCACCGCATTTGATGATGATAGTTCTACAAATTTACCTGGCTTTAAAAGCAGTTGTTCTGCATTGACTATATACAGAAAAATGTGACTTTAGTACATTATTAATGCAGATTCTGTCACCACCAGAGTCTCCCCTCCCTTAGCAGATCTCAATCAATGCTTTTTTCTTCTTAAGCTTTTTTATTTTTATGTGTGTTTTGCCTGCATGTATGTAAGTGTACCACATGTGTGCAATGCATGAAGAGGCCAGAAGAGGGAGTCAGATGCATTGGAGTTGGAGTAATGGACGGTTATTAGACACTGTGTGGGTCTGGGATGTAAACCTGGGTCTTCTGTAAGAGGGACCAATGCTCTTAACTGCTGAGCCATCTCTCTAGCTCCTTTTTCCTTTAAGTGCACGAGTGCACATGAGTGTTTGTGCATGCATGCATGTGTGGGTGTGTGTAAATATGAATACAGGTGTGCATGCTGCAACTCCTGTGTGGAGGTCAGAGGGCAACTTTCAGGAGTTGATTCTTGTCTTCCTTGTTGATGCAGGATATATGTTATTCTTGCTGCTGGGCTGTGTGCTCCACACTAGATGGTCCATGAGCTTCTGGGTGATACTCCTGTCTCCATCTCCCATCTCATCATAGCAGTGCTGGGATTACAGATGTGTGCCACCACATTCACTTTTTAAAAATATTTTATTATTTTTATGTCTATGTGTGTATTGCCTGCATGTAGGTAAGTGCATCATGCAATGCCTGCGGAAGACAGAAGAGGCTATCAGATCCCCTGGAACTGGTGTTACGGACAGTTGTTAGCTGCCATGTGGGTGCTGGGATTCAAACTTGGGTCTTCTGCAAGAACAGCCAATGTTCTTAACCACTGAGCTATCTCTCCAGCCCTGACATTCACTTTTTACATGGGTTCCAGGGATCTAACTCAGGTCCTCAGGCTTGTGTGACTAGTGTCTTTACTGGCTGAGCCACCTCTCTGAACCTCACTCAATATTTTTTAAATGGAACTCAGGCATTTGATTTTAGACAAGTCTTTTAAGGCTTTTTTTTAATTGTAAGTGGTCAGAAAAGTACACTGTGAGAAACACAAAGAGGATCATAGAAAGGATCACTTCCCTGTATCCAGGAGTTTGTATGAATACTACAGAACTTCATGTTCAAATAAAGTCAGTCTTTTAAAAAATAAATGCTGGGGAAGCCGGGGGTGGTGGCACATGCCTTTAATCCCAGCACTTGGGAGGAAGAGGCAGGAGGATCTCTGTGAGTTCAAGGCCAGCCTGGTCTACATAGTGAGTTCCAGGACAGCTGGGGCTACAGGGAGACCCTGTCTCAAAAAGACCAAAAATAATAAATAAATAAATAAATAAATAAATAAATAAATAAATAAATAAATAAATAAATAAAAGACTGGGGCTGGAGAAATGGCTCAGTGGTTAAGAGCACTGGTTGCTCTTGTAGAAGACGCAGATTTGATTCCCAGCATCACATGGTGGCTAACAACTATCTGTAACTCCAGTTCCAAGGGAATCCAACACCTTCTAATTTCCATGGGCATGGCACGACATGGGTGTAGTTACACATATGCAGACAATACACTCATACACATAAAATTAAAAACTAAATAAAATATTTTTAAAAAACAAATACTGACAGCTGGGCATAGTCATGCACACCTTTAATTCCAGCACTCAGGAGGCAGAGGCAGGTGGATCTCTGTGACTTCAAGGCCAGCCTGGTCTACATAGTGAGTTCCAGGCCAGCTGGGGTCTTTTGCCTCAAAAAGACCAAAAAATAAACCAAAAAGCCTCCCAAATGCTGACATACTTTGTTGTTCTACCTCAGGAACAAAAGCCAAAATGAAATTTATGGTACTTATCACCATCGGGCTAACTGTGCTGTTGGGAGTCCAAGCCATGCCTTCGAATCGCCTCTCCTGCTACAGAAAGATGCTAAAAGATCGCAACTGTCACAACCTTCCAGAGGGCAGAGCTGACCTGACCCAGATTGATATAAACATCCAGCATCATTTCTGGGATGGGAAGGGATGCGAGATGATCTGTTACTGCAATTTCAGCGAACTGCTCTGTTGCCCAAAGTAAGGACATAAAATTAGGACATTCATTGCTATGAATATATGTAGAATAAGCCTGTTCAAAAATCATTTAGTACCTTCTGTCATATGTTTTTCCAAACTATTACTTTATAAATAGATATATATACCATGCAGTGTTGGTATGAAGGTAAATTTCCCAATGCTTTCTACACACAAAATTTCAAAATATAGACTTTGAAATGTATATAAATGCATATATGTACTATATGTATCGTGTCCAACTTGCTTTATTATATCGACATTATTTATATTTATTTATGAAGTTCTGTTTCAATTATTTTGTTTTATTTAACATTTTGTTATATATATGACCCAGGGAGACATCACTTGATTTTTTGGAATGTTTTATAAATGCAACATTTATTGAAGGTTTATTAAGTGCTGGTGACTGTAATAAATCTTTCATAGGTATTAATACATTTTATCCACACAATAGACACTCATGTGAGTGTGATGGTACATGCCTTTAATCCCAGCACTTGGGAAGCAAAGGCAGGCAGATCTGTGTGAGTTCCAGGCCACCCTGACTGACCTACGTAGTGAATTCTAGGATAGCCAGGGCTACACAGTTGAGTCCCTGTCTCAAAAAATAATAATAATAAATTAATTTAAAAGAAAAATATATATATATT